ACGATCATTTAACGGACACGTTCGTCAAACGGATTCTATTGTTCAATTAGGTATACAGCCTTCTAGGTATTGTTCGATGAACATTTATGTTTCACGATTGTTTGCAATTTATTGTAATAACATAAATAAATATTTTGAAAATTAAATACATACAACTTGATTTTTAATATTTAAATATTTATTTTTAATTAATATATTACTTTTTAATAACAATAATTTATTACTAACACATACATTTATAATTTGCTAATTTAATTTATTTTATGTGAATTTATTTTAAGTAATTCGCCAAAACTATACAAATAATTTAATTACACAAATTCTAAAAAAAACGTATTTACAATTGCATACATGTTAAATTAAAAATTATTATTACACTTTAAAACAACAATACTTAAATTTTCGAAAATAATGTGTTACATATATTTTATATAATTTTAATTTATTTAATCATTTTAAGATTAATTAATACAATTTATTAAATTATTTACATATAAAAAAATAATAAATTTAATAAGATTTTAGTTCTTAATTGGAAAAAATGCCACCCTAGGTCACGGTCTACCCCTAAATACGCCACTGTTTGGAAAAGTTGTTAACATATAATTACATGAATAATTTTCAGAAAATACTTAAGGTAAATTTTCAAAAGATGGTTTATTAAGAGGTGCAAGGATGCAACCAACAAAATAGTTGTTACACGTATTACGAGTTTTAATTAATATTACTGAGTAATCGTAATATAATATTATGTTTTAATTTATTTAACATATTAATTGAAAAATGGAAATTAATTTATAGTATTGAATAATATAATATACAGATAGCTAATTGGTTTTTTATGACATTGCTGTCACAGTCACGGATTGTTTATTATCATTTATGACTATCAATAGATATACTTTTTGTATTGTCAGTTAGTGTATTTATAAACTCACAACAGTGTACCTTACTATCATTGATAATAACAATGCTGTGTACCTGTTAATATCGATGTCATAAAAAACCAATTAGCTAACTGCATTTATAAACCCTGTATATGTATATTAACTCAAAAATTTGAAACTTTAAATGTTTATATCTAATAAACAAATAAAGGTATATTAGAAATTCGAATGCCATTTACTATTAAATTAAAAACTCAAACATTTTATTAAATTCAAAATATCTCTTCTCATTTAAAAAAACAAACTTGACACCCTTACCAGGAATAAGGGATGAACTTAAAAAGTATTACATAGTTAATAATTCAAAAATAATGTGTAACTAAGGATAATTAGAAAAAAAAAATTTTANGTAACTAAGGATAATCAGAAAAAAAAAATTTTTTAATTATTATTATTCTGTAAGTAATTGAGCGGGTTATGATAAAAAAATCACTCTGTATACAATGTATTTTATGGTTGCATTTTTCATGTGAATTTTATTAAATAATGTGATTTTTGTTCATATTTATTTATTTATTTATTTATACGGGCTGAGCCTTGTGATACAAAATATTTTTTAGTTACATTAATATATATATATATATATACAATAGTAAAACCTATAGCAAACATAAAAAGAAAAAAAAACATGAACATTTGTAGAATTAGAAGTAGTATACAATATTTGTGGTATGAGTAACTTTTAAATAATATTGAAAGAGAGGTCCTCATTGGCATTTTTCATCAGGCGTCTTATTGGCTCATTTGACACATAATTGGTGTTGTTGAAAGGGATGAAAAATAATGTATGATGTCTTGACTGTCTTTGAGGAACTTTGAAATTGATTAAATATAAAATAGATGGAGAGTCCACTTTACCATTAAGCAAATTTTCTAAAAACTTAGTACCTAATATATTACGGCGATCAGCTAGTGAATTTAGATTTAGGTGTTGAGAAATGGGTGGTCGGGATGAGGAATTTTTAATACAAAGCCATTACTCAATATTACTCAATTATCTCAAAAAAGGTCTCGCTGCATTTAATGAGATAGTAAACAAATATTATGTGTCATTGATGCGCTGTAAGTTGCCTTAAAATAATTTGGAAACGCATTTTATAAATGAACATAAAAAAATAAATGTGAAAATATGATAACATAAATATACATAACAATTTTTAATAATACAATTAAATGATCAACTAGTGATTGATATAGTTTATATTATAATATAATAAATATATTTTTATTAATAAAAATCTATATTAAATATTTTTTTTATGTTCCTAAGTTAATTAGGAAATCTTGCTCAAACGGGGGGCCTTAGTTCCCCTATTTCCGTTTATAGCTACTTCTACGAATAATTGATTTGTTTAGTAAATTTATTTAATTAAAACGATTTTAATTTTAAATTATATTTCAGGTAAATATGTTTGTCTAAAAGGCAAGTGTAAGGGTTAAACCTTTCTTTTGTTATTTATGACCGTCCGTTCATCGACTATTCGACCTACCGTTCGCTAACGGATGGTTCCTATAATCCGTCGTGAACGAACGTTTTTTATTGTTCTAAACGATCGTTCGTTCAATGTTTTATACTTTCCTAACGAGTTCACGAACAACGTTCGTCATATAAAACTATATAAAATAAAATCTGAACGTATACGTTCGTGAACGGACGATTCAAAAATAGACCCCCAGGTAGAAACAGCTAGCTCACATAACGCAATAGTCCCTACCATTGTTCAAGTCTTTTTAACAACCGCGGTAGTATCGATATCAGACAATAACAATTAACTACAAACGTGCCGTCTTTGATTAGATTCCGGTACACAGAGTAATTTTATTTCCGAATCATTAGTACAGGAATTAAAATTGAAAAAGAGAAAAATAGCTCATCCAGTAATCGGCATATGCGAAACTGTAAAAAATATATCCACGTCGGTTGAAATACAGATTAAGTCGCGTGTTCTTCAATTATATCTATTACTACTTGAGAGAAATTGTACAGCAAGTTTAAATATTTAAAAATGTTTAAATTTGTATGTTTGGTAATTTATGTAAAAATACTTATAAATTTGATAAAAACAATAATAGTATCTTGATATCTAAATATCGTGATATGAATTTGTTTTTTATTATTTATGCAATGTATTAATTAGTATTTGTACTTCTTTTATAAAATATTTTCATTGTTTAAGTTTCCTGAAGTTAATGTTTATGTCGCTAAATTTAGTGAAAGTAATTTGTATTATTTATATATTAATTTAATTATTTGTAATTTGCTTTAAGTATGATGTATCAGTTCCAAGTTATTATTACTTGCTACTTATCTAATGATTTAATGAACCAGTTTAAAACAATCTTAATAAATTAAAATTACAATTTAATAGCGTTAGTATAAAATTGTTTTTTTTTTTTTGGGAAAAAAATGTTTCATATATTTTTATCGTTCCTTTAGATATTAATGTATTAAATAAAATAAAATTTAAGAATAAAAAAAACTTTTAAGCATATTTTCGTCAACTTTTATTTAGCAAAATACATATTTATCACGTTAGCACATAAATTATAATTTGTTATGTTTAACATATTCCTGGGCATATTAATTATTTAAATTTCTTTTATTAAATTTTTAAAATAACTTCAAACTAGGTTAAATTACAAATAATTTATTAATGATAATTTATATCTGACATTTATTGAAAATAAAGTTTTTCACGTTTTACCTAAATTATGTCTCCAATTAGTTTATTATCTAAATATAATTAAATTTATAGTTGAAGGTCTGGTTACAACAACCATATGGTTCCAATCTTTTTTAAAATATAATTTTTTGTTAATTTTGAATAGAAATTATTTTTTTGCGTAATTCTGTACAAATAAGAGATGTTCATTCTGTTCATTGGAGAAAATATTTAATTTAGGATAAAACATTTTACCATAGCTTTTAATTAAAAATTTTTGATAAATTGTCTTTCCTGAAGAATTAAAAAAAAAATGGGTTAATCTGATTATTCCGCTAAGTACAGAATTTTAGATGATCATCTGTAATTAAGGTGTTTTACTGTTTGTGCAATTAAAAACTTTAGTAGGACTAACTCATTTGAAACAAATGTTGAAATAGTATATCATTTAAAGTCATTCCTTTTAGTTTTTTGTACCTTGTCGGTTATTTTTGGAATGGAATTTCTTTTTTGATTGTAATTATTCTATTGATTTTAATATATTATGTGTCATATTTTAAGATAGTATTTTATCATCGACAGGAAAATACGGTTCACATCTGTGCATTAAGTTAAAGGTAAAATTCATACTGGTTATTAAATAACCAGTATTACATTGTGGGATAGAATTATATGATAAAGTTATGTAAGGATGAAGGTACTTAGATTAATAATTATCTTCGATGTATTTTCATAAAAAAAACACATATTATCATTTTCTGCAAACATTTGGGTTTAACATGAATATATTGTAATCCAGCCTAGTTTTATATGAAAATTATCGCATGTCTTTTTAACATTTAGGAGTAGGGGTAATAGGAAGAATGACAAAAATTATATCTAGTGTCTGATCGAAAAATGAGTTTTTTGAGAAAGGAGACATAGAAAAGGACACATAGAAAAGTATTCTTCATAAATCACACTATAAACATATTTTCATAATTATTATAATCTTAAAAAAAGAAAATTATAGCTTTTATGAATTTTAAATAAACGTCAGGAATCTGTATAATGAATAATATTTGCTTTCAACTTACTAAAACAAAGAGAGTTTGTTTTAAGTTTACAACAAAGTATTTACCTAAAAGTATCTCTTTCAATTTGTGGATTACAAAAATAAAAACAATAAATGTTAAATTATTTATTTTATTTATATTTTATACGGCTTTAGTTACATATGAAATGAAAATATCCGAAAGACAATTGCATATAAAATAATGTAACAAAAATTATATTTGAATCAATTAAAATACACAATAGCTTGTATATTAATACTATATATTAAGTATAGAAATTTTGCCATTTTGGTTTTATGTTAAATAACTCATAGAAAAAATATCGTCAGGTTGGGTTGGGTTTTTAGATTTTTTATCATAAAGTACTTTTCATAATATTTAATTTCTATAGGTTTCACATTACTACCCATTCTATAATATTTTTAAAAATTTAATGTAAAGTAATTATTTGTAAAAATTGCGAATTATTAGCTTCGGTGCGTAACTTAGAAGCTATTTACTTTGCCGATTTTTTTTTTTTGTCAAGTACGCTAATACCTCCGATCCAATTGGACTGATTTTTCTCGATGATACGTCAAAAGATAACAAAATATATGTCATGATATACACAGTATATCATTAATGTCATAATGTATTATTTAAGACTTCAATAAATCAACCACGCAAAACGATATGTACACCAATAAAAATAAGATAAATATATATACCTTTTAAATGTTTAAATATACTAATGAAATTTCGTAGAAAAAAGTATATGTTGCGTCTGGTTCAATATGTATAATAAATAAATTGATAAATACGAATGTTTATTAATTGTGGACTGTAACTTTTATTATTATTTTATTGTAAACTGGCGATTTGTCCGCCCGCGTACGTATATCGAGCATAACTGGTCTTATATTGGTCGGTGACCATCATTATTATTGGTATCGCTTAATCGCGTGATAACGAGCGCGAACAGTATATATTAATTATGTAAAAGAAAAAGGAAATAATAAACAATATGTAATAGTAAGTAATGTGTTAGACATAAGCTAATAAATAACGTATAAGATTTTATAGAACAAAGGGTTGAACATTATGAAATGTAGATCATTATTGATAAAAGTGTGATAAATAACATATAATAAATTACGATTAATAAAGATATAATGGCAGCGTTGGTGATCACTTCTTGCCTTTGAAAATATTATCAAAATTAATATAAAAAGCCCAAAATAATGATCATTCTGGCTCAGATGTCACTCTGACAATGGTCGAAATGCTATCACTCAATCAGATGCGGTCAGATATTCACAGAGGCACTCACTACGCTTAATCATTTCACACCTTCATAACGAAGTATATGCAAAAAGTAATCCACTGTCTCTACAATTATATTTATACAATAACATAATATTTATTTATTTCAGCGTTTTATTAGAAATGTCAATATAGGAAACTTATAATTTTCCCAAAAATATATAAGGTTTAGAATTAAATTTTATGAGATAATAGATAAAGCAGGCATACATGAAAATCAAGGGAACATCAATAATGAGAAATATACAAAGTAAATTTAATAATTTGATAATGTTTGTACAGAGTTATTTGGCAGAGTTATATCTTTGATATCAAAAGTGTGACAATGAATTACAATAAATTTTTTAATAATAAAATAAAGAACAATTTATATATCTATCATCTTCTATTTTTCTTACAAATCCACGTACTCATAATCCGAATAATAACATTATTAATACAACAAAAATAGTAGCCCAACTCAACTACTACCATTAATTTTTTATTTATTTTATTATTTCTTTTTGAGTTACTTCACTTTGAAACTTTGTATATAGATAATGCAGGCATACAGGAAAATCAAGTGAACATCAATAATGAGAAATATACAAAGTAAATTTAATAATTCGATAATGTTTGTACAGAGTTATTTGGCAGCGTTATATCTTTGATACGTGTCTCTTTCAGGAGTAAAGTTGGGGTTATCTAATTATTTATCTAAAATAAAACCATCTATATGGTTTAAAGAAGAAAGACATGATTTTATAACACAAAACAGGATCAAAATGAAATAACAGTGATTTGAATCGCTGTCAGCTTAGCATTGAAACTAACATTTTTCTGGAAATTCATATTAGAAAATATATTCTAATTTTAAATTAATTATGATAATTAGAAATATGAAACTATTTATCCTAATAATTTTTCTCAGCCTGTATAATTATAAAATACATATTTAGAATATTGTTAAATAATATTAACAACAATTTTTTTGTAATAGAATAATTTTTAAAAGGCACGATTATTATAAATAAAATAAAAAAATAAAATTATTTAACAATTGTAAAATTTTACATATTAACAAATAAATTAATATGCTTGCCATTATAAAGTTATAAATAAAAAAGTTAATACTTAAGTTGTTTTTCGATATTGTAAAATATATTTTTTAACGAGGTTATTTAAAACAATTGCAATATTTACTTGAAAACAGTCTGAATACATAAATTATTTGAAATCTAAATTTACGTTACTTAACAAAATTTAATGTAAATTATTGAATAAATACATATACATTTGCGTCAATTTCATAAATTGTATTTTTTATTATTTGCACGCATTTAGAGATCTGTAGCGCAAGTTGTCAACCTTAAGTATTAAATAAAAATGTAACATGTTAAATTGTAGTTCATAAAATTACTGTTATAAAATACATTATTAAAAAGTTATGTTTATTAATGATTTATGAATTTTCATTGAAATAGTTTATCTTGCAAAATATTTAAAAAAATTTAAATTAAATGAGTATCAATATAAAACAGATAAATCAAAATAAACTATTCAAAATAGATTTATAAGTAATACAGATATTTATTTTAAATGAACATTTGCTTTTTTCCATCAATTATTTTAAATAAAAAAATACGTATTTTTGCATATATAAATAATTAATAAATTATAATTGTTCATATATTATTCAACTACAAAATAAAAGTTTATTTTTAATCAGGTGTTGAAAATATACTTGTGACTACTACTTATAAATACTCATGTTATAGTAATTTTTGTAATTCAAAAATATTTAGTTAGTATATAATTTATTTCAAAAGTGTTTAATTTTAGTCGATAAAGTATTTTGAAATTTAAGAATTATAGAAAATTCTCTTAAACTAATAATATGTTACTCAATAAAGTGAAATTAATACTTTTTTTTATTCACACAATTAATCAATCCATTTGTGTTAATCTAAATAATATCACATGTCGGGATATACAAGATCTTAAAATGCAATACCCATATATGATGCATGTTACATTAAAAGATCATCCAAATTATATATTTTCATACAATGGGCTAAAGTATTGTCCAGTACATTTCAGTCATGTAATAGATTGTGAAAGAGTTCCTTGTGAAGGTATAGAAATAACAGATGGAACATTGGAGTGTGTGATTAATAGTTGTTTTAACCATAAAAGATATACTTTGGGCTATGCGATCATTTTGAACGCTATTGAAAGTCTGGGCTTTACATATATGTATCAGTTCTGCGAATTCGCTATAGAAATGAATAAAATAGGTGCTAATATATCATATTATTTAGATCAATTTAGTGAAATTCTTCATTCTATAATTGTACCAATATTTAATAAAGAATGGATTTCTCCTGAACCATATGAATGTATTTTAAATGTTTACAAAGAATACAGACATAAATATAAGAATTACGAATTCAATAAAGTAGACGAAAAGTACATGAGTGATCTACTAATCTGCAAGAATTTAATGAAAGATAAAGTACACTTTTTAACAGATCTTCCTAAAAAATCAATGAATAATATTTCTAAAAAAAAATTAATAAAAATACAAAGTGATAATAATGAAATTATTGAGCGTCTGTTACCGAGTTCCATTTCTACTTTCAAAGATATAACTGGATATAAAAGTAAGAAGAAAGTTTTATTTATTACGTTTTATGTTATACATTATTTTTTATGAAAAAAAAATTTATGAAATAATTTATGAAATATTTTCTTGTAAAAATTTGTCAGTCAATTTCAAAATAATAGAATTAATGACTAATTTATTCAATATAGATTTAGAAAAATTAATTTTATACAATAAGCATATTCGGTTTATAACTAAACATGTTTAAGAAACTAATCTTAGGAGTTGTTCGCTATAGTTTTTAATGAGTTTTAAAAGCGTAAAATATACTTAAAATGCTTTTGAACTGAAAACCAAATTTAAAATTAGTAGAAATTTTTATCAATAAAAGTTTTTAATAATTTATTTCTTTTTTTTGCTGCAGATGAAACCTTATGTTTGGGGAGTACGTTACATAATAGTGGTAAAATCAGAGAAATTCGCATTTTTTTAACATGCGGACACGGGTGGAGTTGTAGATATTGTGATGTACTTAATAAACAGTGTCCTGTATGTCATCAACCGATTACAGGTACTCAAGATATTCATATAGAAACACCTGCATCAATAGTTGAAAATGGTATATAAATTATAATTATTTACTGAAACATATTACTAGCTTCTCTTTATATTGTCTTACGTACCGATTTATATTATTTAAACAATAAGTAACTGTAGTATTTAAATATTTCAGTATAAATTATTGAAACTATTTACTAGTATTACGTTGTATTACAAACTAATGGCATTCTAAGGAAAGTAATAAACTGCCTTATAACTCTTTGAAATTTCTAAGTTTATTGTGTTGCTAAGTTTGATTGAAAAAAGATATGAAGATTTTTTGAAAATTCTGCTTGAACAATATTGTTACAGTAGAAGCGACAAGCGTAGTAGTAATAATGTCGAGTATCATAAAAGAAAAACTAAGTTAAATCATTAACTACTCAAAATACATGGAAACTAATGTATCAAAAATGCAGATAAAATATTTTTTTTTTTGGCAGAGGATTAAATTTTCACACATATTATTATATTTATTGACAATTTAAAATTTGACAAGTAAAAATAATATTTATACCACTTTTAACCATATAATGATTTCATATTTTAATTGTTTTCTCGATTTAATCTGATGTAAACATTCTGCTCGACTCATATTTAAAATAAATCTCAACAAACATTTTAATGACATATAAGCTTTTGAATATATCCTACAGATTTAAATTGTTGCGGTTGAAATATTGTATATTTGATTTATATTATAATATAAAACACTTGTTTACAGATAAAAAAAATTTTCTGCTATATGACTTATATTAATCATTTTTATGTAAAATCTTTCGCTGTGTCCCAAAATCAAGTTCAAAATACAAAAAGTAAAACATTTTTTGAGATATTTCAAAATTAGCTCTTCATTGGTAGTATTAAATGTTTTGTCGTTAGAAATGTAACGGCTAAATTTATTTTGTTCATAGTAGCGTTCTATTTTCAATTAACATATTCATTTTTCTATGATAATTTATATAACTTTTTTACATTTCTTCTTAATAAAGATAAAAACGAAATCGAATAAACGTCAATATAATTGTAAGAATATTCCAAATAAATTTTATTTTCGAGTGTAGCGAATATGTTTTTGTTACACCGTCGAATTTTACTATACATTGCAAACTGCGTATTGTTTTTAATTAAATATTTCTCCAGAGATCTTAAATGAATCTTGGACGCCAAATGTCTTATGTAACACGTGCAGAACTATGTTAACAATGTAGATAACAGGCACAAAGTAAAAAAATTGGTAGCACAGTGAGATGTGGCATAGTTGGGTCAAGTATAAATGGCAGTTATTAAAATCACTGTTATAATAAAAAGTTCAATGCAGATCTGTAGATAGTGTTTAATTTTTAAGAATTGGTGGATTATTCCAAAAGTTGAATTAACTCCTATTACGAATCGACACGGAGCCGTGTCAAGGAATAAAAATAGAGGTTAAGCGTGACATTTTGATTCAAAATTGTTCATAGATTATTTTTAGCATGTAAATACTCGTTTTTAACACGCTTATATTAGTTTCACATGTATGTTGTGTGTTGTGGGATGTTTGTAACTTTCCAAGTGGCACGTGTTATTATGTCGCGTATCCCGTCGTATATGACCTTGAGACTAGACTAACGTAACGCATTCACCCCACCCAACTTACCACTCACCACCTACAATATTTTCATCGCGTCGTCGATCCCTTAATATTAGAAATTTAGACAAATATATACTGTAAAAAGTGACGAATTCAACAAAAATTGTTTTTAAATAAATATCTCCAGAAATAATAATAGTATAACATTTTTTTATACAAAATTACACGGTAAAATCATGTCATTAAAATGAAACATTGTTTAATCAGCATTGACCAATATATATTTTGTCATACCACCTTAATAGGCTGATTTAAAATATCCATTTAGATTTTTTCCATCGTCTCTTTTTGTGAGATTATTATTAATTTATAATAAATATAGTTTAGAAAAACTAAAAATCACGCTTTTAAAGAACATCGTACTAAAAAGTTCAAAATAATTTTTAAAATAAGCGTAAAACAATAATGAACGAAAAGTCAAGCGCTCAATATACGAAAAATATAGCACAAAGCACCCACGCTTTTATCACAATAATATACTAGTACTTTTCGTTCATTATTGTTTTACGCATATTTTAAACTTTTTAGTTCGATGTTCTTTAAAAGCGTGTTTTTTTAAACTATATTTATTTTTCACATTTTAGTTACATACTATGATAGCAGTTACTATCAATATCATGATTGTAACGGGTAAAGGGGAATCAGGGTTCGATTCCGAAATGGGAGTCTGAGAAACTGCTACCACATCCAAGGAAAGCAGCAAGCGCGCAACGTGGAGGTAGTGACGAAAAATGACAATACGGCAATCATTCCCCGTAATCGGAATAAATACCCTATTTATCTCTTAATGAGAATAAAGCGTGTTAATATATAAGTTTTAATAGTAATTAGAATATACATATATACATGTAAAGAGACTTAAGTACGTAAACGTATAGCTGTGCTAGTCGAAACTAGTTCTATGCTAAAGCTTCGTCTTTTGACAAAGTTAAGGCAAAAATATAGTCGTTCTTTGTTTTTTATTTGTGAACCTATGAAAATACCTTCTTATATTTTTGCATCAGACAAATGTGGACATTTGTATTCAAATGTATT